AAATAACAAGTCGAAAACCGCCAGGAAAAGAACGAGTCATGAAGCTTTTCTCGTTAAGACAGACAAGCCATAAATTGAGTGTTTTAATATGAACACATGTGGGTCTATACATAACGAAAGAGGAGTCCTTGTGTACTACTTGAACAAGTGCAGGATGTGGAACACAACGTTCATACAAGAGGAAATCCACTGATTTGCTAAGTGTGGTCTCTTTCAAAGATTAATGGGCCCCTAAAAATTCAACCCTTTTTCTGCTTCAAAATGCAAGCATATGGGTAGCCTTGTCAAATTTTTGCTCGATCCGTTAACTTGATGCGTAACAACACAAAAACTTGTTGCTAGTCAACTCGTTAACAAGTTGGATCGTTATTGAGTCACATGTTAAGACCCTCGGTTAACTAGTTGGATCGTTATCGGATTACTCATTAAGATCTCGTTAAGATCCCATTAACTAGTTGGATTGTTATCGGGTCACTCATTAAGACCTCGTTAACGAGTTTGGTCGTTATCAGGTCACTTGTGAAGAACCTTATAAGATAATAGGTATGACACGAAAACGAAACGAACACAACCCGTTGCCAGGTCTAGACATTGGGCATGAGAATTGCTTGCATGACCCATTGACACAAAAAAAAAATGATCCGTTAACGAATCAGGTCGCTATCAGGTTACCTATTAAGAACTCGTTAAAATAATATGTTTAACACAATACGACACGTTAACATAACGGGTATGAAATTAAAAAGACATGAACATAACAAACACGATCCGTTTACCAAATCTACATATTTGGCTTAAAATGACTTAAAAGTAAACAAAATTTTTATTCACACTCTAAAATAAATAATAAATAATTTTTTTTCAAAGCGTCTCAATGAATTTTTAATATTCATCCAATGAACAAGTATAGTTCGGATGAGTGTGAGATCATGGATAATTGGGTTTTCCTCATCTCGACAGGTCACGGAAAGGCTTTGGCGTGATACGCTATAGACCATTTAGAAACAACTTATTACTTCCAAACTCATCAGAGCCGCAAATTTGAACTGATAAAAATCAAACGACAAGATTGATTGAAGTGGGGTCACGCGCGTGACCCGTATGCGCGCAGGGGAGACTTTCTGCTTTACTTGTAGGGTTATACCTTGGAATGGGCCACGGGAAGTGGGCCAGAGGAGATGGTAAATAGAGAGGTCCATAGCTTCCTTTTATGAATGATTGTGCACCACCACCACATCACCATTTCCAAAGGTGTTTGCATACTTACTTACATCATGCATGGGGATTCATTCTTTTGTTACTTTTGACCAGGAGCTATAGCTATGTTAATTCAAACCCTTTTACCAAAAAATTAAGGGTGGGGACATTTACACGTCTGTTTTTAACTCTCACATATTTTTTTATTAATTTTTTTCAATTCATTCAATTTAACTGTCGAAAATTTAGAGATGTATAAAAAGTAAAATGAAGTGTTTGGATAGCACCATCCAAAATTGAAAGGGAAAAAAATTGGGGTAAGTCATCAATAGTTCAGAATACTGGGTGGTTCGCTTTTATATTTATTAGATTGACAAAAATAATATTTCTTCAATTTAATCATGATTTTATTGCCCGTTCTACTGAGCAGCCCGGAATAAATAAGTGGAAACCATCACGCTATTCATTAGGATATTTGGACTACATGCGTGTGTGGTTTCATTTTGATAGAGTTTGGGTTGAATATATTCTTTTTAGTATGCGTGTGTTGGAGTTTGGTTGTTTTGTTGGATCAAATGAGCTTTCATTAACAACAAAATATAATTTATACAGGACACGCATATCACCACATGAGTTTCAGAGCAAACCTTTCTTATGCGTATCACCCAGGAGCATGAGCAAAACGCCATGATTATAATAGATTTTGAGAGGTAAAAATGAATTTATGAATATCGCTACTCAAAATTAATTGGTCAGTTCGGTTTCTTATCACAAAGCTTGATTTTTACTTCTTATAAATTATAATAAATTAGAATGAATAACATATGACAGTAATATGTAAAAACTCAAACGATACAGGTGGAGTCAAAATTGATCGATTGAAGCACCTTAAACTACTTGAGAGTTTGTTACATTTTTAAGCACTTGCTCATCTTCAACACACATTAGAATCTTTAAATCGTGTCCCAAATCAATCAGAAAAGATTTATGAAGGTTGTTAGCAGACCCATATATAATTAATTTGGATCAGCACATATAAAAAGAAAAAAGCCAACCCACAAAAGTATGTCAAAGATACATAATATAATTCAAACGAAAAAAAAAATCATCAGTACGCGTAAATAGGAATCTCATAAGATACATAATTGGTTGCCTCCTCTTGTTGGAAATGTTAAGCGAAATATTGATGCCGCTTTAGAAGTTACAGTGGCGATGACCCTTTTCCATGGCACGGCACTTCCTCGAGGCATGCCGGCTAGTATTCGCGGTCGCATGCACAGTCCTAGTTCTTAATTGGGTATATTCGTTTCATTGGATTCATAGTCCGATGTCACTAGTCAATGATATGAATGTATAGATAAAAAGTCTTTGGCTCTTGATGATCATCTTATCGAAGATATTCGATAAGATAGCTCATGAGCTTGCTGGATATACACAACAAATTATGCTAATATGGTAAATTGGATCCAACATGCATCTCCTTACTTGGAGCCTTGTTTGTGTAAGGAAGGGAAATCTTCGAACTTGGGTGAAGAGGGTTATAAAAGCGTTTGATTTCCACTATGGCACGACAAACCGTCATCATTTCTTATTACAGAATAAAACTTTGTAAAATGTAAGTAATAAGAAAGAGTTAAGTAGTTGCACCAAATTATGGAACAATTTCTAAAAAAGGTATTAACATTCTCCGTCCACCCAAGCGGATTTGAGAAAACACAAAATAAGACCATATATACTAATTTGCGCATGTCTCTCATCAAATGATCATCAAAGATCGTTTTCGATTCTTATTTTCTTGAAAGCGATATTTCAATCCTACAATATATACGATTCATCTACTCACAACAACAACAAAATTATAATTATTAATCAAATACCACAAAATTAGAAATTCTTGTGAGGCCGAAAATTGGGCACAACATCTAATTCCTGACAACAATAATAACACGATCGACCAACCACTTAAAATATAAAGTAAAACAAATATGAAAAAAGAAAGAATTTATTTATTGTCATAAAAAGAGCAATGGACATATGTATGTAACACATTTTTAGAAGTGTTATGGTTATTTATCATGCAATGTAATATAATTTATTTTTCTTTCCAAATCATATTATGTGATATATGGGTTGACAATTAATACATTCTAGGGCAATGAGTTTGTAGTTTTGGAGAGATTTTTCAACATGATTGTCATATTGTCTCATGATGTTATAATTTCACTAATATTATACACGAGTTTGTTTATAATTAATATACCTTTGGATAGAAGTAGACCTGCAAACAGGTCGGATTCGTATCAGATCAGCTGTGATCTGCATGCGAATTCATTTACAATCAGATTAACGAATTTGGTACCCATTCAAAGCATCGGATTTCACTTGTCGATCCCAATCCAATTAGCATTGAATTTTAGATCAGATCATAAACTTGTCAGATTTAATTTAAGACCTAAAAAAAAATTTAAAATACCACTAGTAACATCATTGTTTTATTATTTTTAATTAAGAGTTTCATATTGAATAATAATAAGGGAACTTTAACGAAAAGTTCTTGATACTATTCACTTTAATGAAAAATCACATTTTTACACAAAAAGTCAATCCTGATACTATTCACTTTACCCTTTATTTTGTCCTTATCATTAAAACTCAAAGTTTAAAATAATTTTCATTGGTTTTCCTTAATAATAAAGTAGGATACAAGTAAATAAAAATAAATAATATGATATATTAAGTCGGATCAGATCAGCCTTGATCCATATCCAGATTCATTTATAATTGGATTATCGAACTTGGGTCTTATTCAGTAATCGGATTGGAAGGCGTGATTTATACTCTAGTAATTACATCATATTCGGATCGGATCCAGGGCGAAATTCGATCCATTGACATATCTAGTTATAAGGACTTAGTTAAAAAAAAACGAGTTTATTTCCACTAAAACGTCTTGAGCCATTAATACATGACCTTGTATTAGTGTTTCAGAGTCACATCAACAATAAGTACATGGGTTAATAACACTACGTAGCTGTTAGACAGTCCCACTTAAAAGTGTTGGTGATTTTATTGATTAAAGCTTTCTGGCCTGCGAGTTTTTGAAATCAATTCTTCTTCTATAGTATCTCTTGTATACAAAAACACTATACAAAAATACACATACATACTTATGTATAAATTGGCTAACTATAAGGACAATCACATCCAAAATTCACTCATTTTTAGGCATTTGACAATGGCGCACACACACGTTCGGTGGTATAATCTCGTGAGGTATAAATAGGGTCGTGAAAACAAAGGACATGTCACATAATTCAGGAGAGTGGTCCCCACCAAACAGGCAAAACCCTGTAATAAAGCGAAATCCACACTGGCAGATTCGTCATTCAAAAAATCCCAATCCAAGGAAAAGAAAAGGGCAAACGAGGGTTATCGAAATTGCGTAACTGTACATTGCCCCTATCGGCAAGGCTTACAGCCTCGTGAATCTTCATATTCCCAGGCGATTCCGTCACGTCACGACGAGACGACGGAGGAATACGAAAGGAATAGTACGGGGGCAAATTCGTCAACTAAAAAAATGGAACAGGAAAGCTGACGCGGCGGCATGGGAGTGGGGGGTAGTATTTCGTTGGCAGCAGCAACGTTCCCTAGGCAAAAGCCGGCTCATCAATTCTCCGTCCCTCCTCCTTCTTCCTTCTTCCTTTACCTTTTTTTATTTTTTATTTTTTATTTATTATTTATTTTTAAAATTTATTAATTTATTAATTTTTGGGTTTTGTATTTATATTGGGGTTTTCTCTCTCATCGTCTTTACTCTCTCTCTCTCCTCTGAGTTTCTCTCTCTATCCTTTTCTCTGCTGCGCCTTGTGTTGGTTTGTAGGATTCCCATTCCCACCTATTTTCCCAAAACACAAAGCGCTCAAAAGAGAGAAAGAGAAGACAAAAGAGAAACCCAAATTCCAAAAAACCAACAAAAAGAGCAAACACCACCCATTGCTCGGCCGCAAACGCCCACCGGATTTCGTTTTCCGGCGAGTTCAGCAACCCCAATGTTGCCGGACTGACCCAGGAGCGAGAGGTGAGAGTTCAGAGCTGTCCGCTTTGCTGTGACAGTGCTGTCACTGTTTGCGTTTTTGTGGGTTGTGGCTGTGTATATATGTGAGGCAAAAATGCGCGAAGAACTGCTGTGTGAATCGCCGAGCGACGTCGTTTCCCACCCCAAGAAGAAGAGGTCGGAGGAGGAGAAAGGGGAGAGAGAGCTGTCGACGCACTTGGTGTTGGCACCGGCGGCAGTGGCTTCAGTCGGCCGGAGCCGATCTCAGGCGACGACGCGGCGAGTGACGCCGACGACGACCACGACCATCGCGACTTTCCCCTTCACGACGTCGTCGAGCGTCGAGAGGTACCTGCCGAACGGAGATCTCTACATCGGGAGCTTCTCCGGGTCGCACCCGCACGGATCCGGCAGGTACCTCTGGGCCGACGGGTGCATGTACGAAGGGGAGTGGCGGCGTGGCAAGGCGTCAGGGAAAGGCAGGTTCTCGTGGCCGTCGGGCGCGACGTACGAGGGTGAGTTTAAGTCGGGTCGGATGGAGGGGCGCGGGACGTTCACCGGATCCGACGGGGACACGTATCGGGGCTCCTGGTCGTCGGATCGGAAACACGGGTTCGGGGAAAAGCGGTACGCGAACGGCGATTTCTACGAGGGTACGTGGAAGCGAAACGTCCAGGAGGGACAAGGCCGGTACGTTTGGGAGAACGGCAATGAGTATGTCGGCGAGTGGCGAAACGGCGTCATTTCGGGTCGGGGCGTTTTGATTTGGGCCAACGGGAACAAATACGACGGGCAGTGGGAAAACGGCGTTCCCAAAGGTAACGGAATATTCACCTGGCCTGACGGCAGTTGCTATGTTGGGACATGGAACAAGGACTTGAAGGTTCATCAGCTTAACGGGACGTTCTATCCGGCTAACGGCGGAAAAGAGCAGAGACTGACCGACATTGGGGATTTCGGGTCGGAGAATCCGACCATTACGATGCGAAAACGCAGTGTTTCGTCGGTTGATGGGGCGAGAGGGAGCTTGGCGGAGAGGACTTTCCCCAGGATTTGCATCTGGGAGTCGGATGGGGAAGCTGGGGATATCACTTGTGATATCATCGATAATGTGGAGGCATCGATGTTCTATCGAAACGGCACCACTTTCGATCGAGATGGGTTCGGGAAGTTCGGGCGAAGTCCTTGTTGTTTCTCCGGCGAACCCAAGAAGGCAGGCCAAACTATTTCAAAAGGGCATAAGAATTACGATTTGATGCTCAATCTTCAACTGGGCATTAGGTACTTTTTCCTTTCTGTCGATTTTTCGATTCTTAGTTTTTGCTAATTTACTAGTTTTGGAGTGATTTCTAGATTGTGGGTTTGATTTTTTGGAGTTTGGTGTTTGATATTTGATGTGTTTGGTGCTTAGGTACTCAATTGGGAAGCATGCTTCGATAGTCCGGGACCTTAAGCCCAGTGATTTCGATCCGAAGGAGAAGTTCTGGACCAGGTTTCCCCCCGAAGGATCAAACAAAACGCCGCCCCATCAGTCGTTTGAGTTCCGATGGAAGGACTATTGTCCTATGGTCTTCAGGTATGTTATGCTTTTCAGCCTGTAGCTCTATATTTTGGTTGATTACTTGTTGGATTACCATATTTTATCAATTGAATACTATAACTAGAAGTTTGGTAACAGCATTGAGCGATTCGAACTACATTCTTACGAGGTTTGTTATTAAAAAGTAAAAACTCGAATTGGTATTTCAGACGTTTGAGGGAGCTATTCCAAGTTGATCCTGCCGATTATATGCTGGCTATTTGCGGAAATGATGCGCTTAGGGAGCTTTCTTCTCCAGGGAAGAGTGGAAGCCTTTTTTACCTGACTCAGGACGATAGATTTATGATTAAAACAGTCAAGAAATCGGAAGTCAAGGTTAGTTGCCCACCTGTTTGACTTCTTTAGTATTCATTTTATACTTAATTGGAGACAATTGGACATTTCTGGGGCATAATTAGCGCTCTGCTGACTTGTTTGTTTCCTAGGTACTATGTTTTCTTATTTCGGCATTTCATAGGTTGACGTTGCTGAAATGATCTGACTAGTTATTTGTTTTCAGGTGCTTATCAGGATGCTTTCGAGCTATTACAGACATATGTCTCGGTATGAAAATTCTCTCGTGACAAAGTTCTATGGTGTGCATTGTGTCAAACCTGTCGGTGGCCAGAAGGTACATGTTGGGGAGACTAATTTGCATTGGTTAGAACAATCAAGCTCTTTGTTCAATGATAGGACATATTTTCTAACTGGTTGTCCTTTGATTGGAAAACAGACGAGGTTTATCGTGATGGGCAATTTGTTCTGCTCTGAGTACAGAATACATAGACGATTTGACTTGAAAGGATCCTCCCATGGTCGAACAACTGATAAGCCTGAGGGGGAAATTGATGAAATCACAACTCTCAAGGACTTGGATCTTAACTTTGTGTTTCGCCTCCAAGGAAAATGGTACCACGAGCTTATGAAGTAAGTCTGAGTAATTCCCCCTCCCCACCCCTTTTTGGAATTGTTTTCTCTTAGCCTTGTACTAATTAGGTTAGACATTGGCAGGCAAATTGATCTGGATTGCGAGTTTTTGGAAGCCGAGAGAATCATGGATTACAGTCTTTTGGTTGGTCTTCATTTCTACGATGGCACTACGTATGACAAAATGGGGCTTTCACCATTTTATTTGCGCTCTGGTAATTCTAACTTATCTTCCTCGTGATATTATTGTAGGTTAGTAATTTTGTGTGTACGAGAATGCTAAATCGAGTGTCTGACCCTTGTAGGCCAAAAAGATTCGTATCAAAATGAAAAGTTTATGCGTGGGTGTCGATTTATCGAGGCTGAGCTACAAGACATGGATCGAGTGTTATCTGGCCGGTATTTTTACGAATCATATCTTGCTTTCTTCTAGCTTAAGATATACTCTATTGGTTTGACAAAGATTTATAGAAAGGATACTGTGGTTGAGCTTTGTCATCTTTATATAATGGAATTGGGTGGGTGGATAATTCCGACATTGAATTCAGTGTCATCAAATGATTGGGTAGCGTTGGTTTGTGGTTTGGATACATGTGGGATCTTGGTAATTTCTTCAAATTCAGGTCATTTGTTATTACCCATATATCACATGAGCTCTCCCAATGCAAAAATAATACGACTAACATCGATAGACCCTTGCATTTTCACCAATAATTTTTTTATGGTCGAGGCGTAGGAAACCATATAACATAGATATATGGATAGTGGGTGGATTAGTGGATGAGTTTAAGTTTAAAGGAAAATGTATTTGACTTCTGCTACTGGATGAATTATATGTTCTAAAACTGATATGAAAACGTGTATTCTCTATCAGGAAACCATTGATCTGTTTAGGAGCCAATATGCCTGCAAGGGCAGAGCGGATGGCTCGAAGGAGTGATTTTGATCAGTACACTCCTGGTGGGTTCAGCCATTTGACCCCTTCACGCAGCGGTGAAATCTACGATGTAGTCCTTTACTTTGGGATCATCGACATTTTACAAGACTACGATATCAGCAAGAAGTTAGAGCATGCATATAAATCATTGCAGGCTGACCCATCTTCGATCTCAGCTGTTGATCCGAAGCTTTACTCAAAGAGGTTCAGGGATTTCATCGGAAGAATTTTCATAGAAGACAGGTAGTCTCAAAATGGAAAATCGCAGAGTGCAAAACCAATACTGTTGGATTGGATTAAGAAGATTCAACATATGATCCTCGTCCGACGACAAGGAAATCTCAAGCAGCTCCAGTGGTGGGTGGATGGAGTAAAAAAGACTTGGGGTAATTGAGAGACGGCTGGACTAGGACGGCCAACCGCGGCCGGCCGGCGGAAACGGCAGAAGGTTTGTGGTTGTTGGGTGAATGCCGCTCCTATGGCTGAATAATTTTGAAGACACAGCCAAAGGTGTTGGGGATGTTGACGGGGGATTTGGGTTGGCTTTTGTACATTGGGTTCTGATGTCTTTTTATTTTTAATTCTTTTTTATTTTGTTTTCCGGTTTTAGGTGAATTTTTTGTGGTAATCAAGGAATGTGAAGATTTGAAAGATAGGTGGTCGTCTAGGGAACGGACCAAAATATGGGTGGGTTTTCTTCCCACTCAGAAGATTCACAAAAAAAAAAAACAAAGGGTGGAGAGAGGGAGACCTGGAATAACAAAGAGTGTACAGAGGAGAGGAGGGTTTATAGAGAAACTATGAAAAAATGGGGATGGTTTATGCAATTATGCAGCAGATTTGATGGATTTGTATGTGATATTTTGAAGACAATGTTTGAATAATCAACTCAGTAGGCCCACGGAATCTATCTCCATCTCTCTCTCTCTCTCATCTTTTTATCTGTTGGGTTAAGAGAAAAGAAAAGGAAATTTGAGGGGTTTTTGTGCAAATGTCGATTAAAATGGGGTCAGTGGGGGTTGCTTTTTGCAGTGAAAGGAAGGAAGGGGGGAGTAGTCGTGGTATCAAAAGCAGAGAAAGCAAAGGGAGAAAGATGCGCTGCCTCTGACTCTCCTTGTTTACCACTGTTTCTGTGTTCCATCCTCAATTACTGCATTCAACTTTTTACCTATTCCAATTCAAAAAATCTCGCATTAAATTTTTTTTTTTTAACAAATGATATTATATACATTAAAGAGTGAGGGAGTACGCTAAGCCTTACAATGAAATAGTAATGATTTGATTCAAATTTATCTTAGCGAGAATTGAACTTAAATCTTTTACTTACAAGTGAAGAAAAATATCACTAAATCGTAGTATTAAATAGTAAAAATCCTAAATTATTAACCCTTTGATTTTTTCATTAAAAATTTAAATTAAAATCCAACAATTAAAAACTCCAAAATATAAGATATTCTTTGGTAGCAGTGGATAAGAAGTTTTGCTTCTATTCTTGCATTTCGAGTTTTAAACTATCTCAGTCTTCTTTCAAAATTAATATAATCCTCTCATTTCCTTAATAATAATAATAATAATAATTTGCATCATAAAATAAAAAGAAAACTAATGAAAAGGGCTTGAAAACTTTGAGTTTTAATGATAAGGACAAAATAAAAAGTAAAGTGAATAGTACCAGGATTGACTTTTTAGTGTAAAAATGTGGTTTTTCATTAAAGTGAACAGTATCAGGTGCTTTTCGTTAAACTTCTCTAAAATAAATTGTGAAAAAAAAAGCCCAGCACCATTGAGAGCATGGTAACAAACAGAAAGAAATGGTTGCCAAAGCAAAAGTGGGAAGGGGAAACAAAAACAGTGGTCCATTTGACTCATTCCAAGGCATTGACCAAACCGGATGGTAAATAGTTTATTTAAGAGGGAGCAGAAACAAAATATAAATTAGGGCATTGGGAGTGGTGCAATTTTTGCACTTTGCAGAGAGATAGAGGGGTCAAAGTTTTGGTCCAAAGCGAGAAAGGAGAAGAGAAATATACATATACACATATGCATATGTATAGTATGGTTTGTGTGTCTCTTTTTTGACCATGGCCTTTCTGGGACCAACTAGAGTCTCATAGCTCAGACCCAAAGCCAGGGTCTGCCTCCCTCTGTTGTTATGATGAAATATGATCTTATAAATCTAATTGATTTGATATAATATAGAGATATTGGTCGGTTTGTCCCTGAACGAGATGCTAATTTTCCTTTTGAATTTAAATTTTCATCGATTATCTCTTGAAATTTTATAATTAGTCAATTTTTTTCTTGAATTTTAACTTTAGTCAATTACCATTTCAAAATTTTATAAATAACAAATTCCCCTCCTTGCATTAGATTATAAAACTTTTATCAGTCCAGTTTTTCATTCTTTCTGTCTTATCATCTGTTGTCCGTGTGATTAAAGTGCTTAAGAAATTGGATGAAATTTTTTAAAATCTAACGTCAGAAGGGAAATTAGATATCTATAAAAGTTCAGATGAGTAATTGGCTAAAATTTAAGTTTAAGGAGAAAATTGACTAATTATAAAAGTCTAGGGAGGTAATCAGCTAAAATTAAAGTTTAAAAAGATGTATGCAAATTTAAGGAACAAATTGACAAATATTCCTATAAAATATTGTTTCAAATTTCAAGTAATCATATCTAGCTTTTGTCACCTTTCTTTGATCAATCCAAAGTTTAATTTGTAGTAATGCTCGCAACATTTTATATGTACATAATCTTTTTTTATTACAAAAGGAAGCCACTGAGAACACAAAACAAAACCTAATTAATAATTAAAACTTAAGTTTTGTGGATAACTGGTGCTGGAAGTGCGGAGCTTATGATCATCATTTGTGCATCCAAATGAACAATGTAGGGTAGTTCTTGGTAATGCAAGCTCCAGTGGTACCACGTGATTCATACGAGTTATGAGAAAGAGAAATTTTTATGAAATTGGAATAATATTTCCAACAATACTTGGCTATTTAAAGAATGAGTAGGAGTTCTTACTCAAAATTGTTTGTTGACAATATATAAAACTTCGTGTTTATAATAGGAAACGTTCATATATAAATTACGATAAAAATCATATCTGCTGAAAATCAATTAAAACTAAAATCATTTAGTTACCGAACTGTATATGAACAAATAAACGAAATTGGTAAAAACATTCCAAACCGACTATGTATTTGCTAGAATAGATTGACTCAACGACCTTAATTTATTCATTTTTTTCATAGATGATCTTTACAGTGTGATTTATAATATAAACGGTTCTGATTAGAAGTACAAAACTCTATGACTCAAAAACTAAGAATTTTAAGTTTGAGTTCGTACACATCTTTGAGTAACTAAGTATTGTTCTAATCTATTTGTATTTCTCTGATAAACTTTTGATTAAGTTCAGTTGTGTTCCAAAAGAACTGGTAATTGGTTATACAGTTCATCAACACATTATTATCCAAGTGAGACTCAACACGCTAGTACAACTCGCAGTATGGTAACACACAGCCTTCGATTGGAAGGTCACAAACTAGAGTACAAAAAAATTGTGTGTTGGTGCGATTCTGTCACTTGAATAGAAAGCATGCATACGGATTTGAAAATATGGAAGAAATGTGACCATATCAAAGGATTAATAAAACCTTGAAAGGCTTCTAAGAGCATTTCCACCCATTTTGGTAGATTGGCGCTAGAGGGGGTTGGGAGGAGTAATTTGCATGAATAGTGAACTGCTTCTTAATCCACTTCCCACCCATTATGAATAGTGAACTGCCTTAACTGTTCCATTTGATTATTTTATTTTTCATGTATGATTCAATTATTCAATAGACGAGATTAATTTAGAATAGGATGCTATAGTTACGTTACATGTGCATATTTTATTTTCAAAATTTTCTATTTTTAACAATTTTTGTTAATTTTTATTTACGAAAAAATAAAGATCATTGGATTGAAGTTATTGTTCGAATCAGAAGGCCATAAAAGTGTCACGTGACAATTAATGTTTCATTCTAGCTTTTGACCCGGCCCCACGCCACATATTCGCATGGATGACGTCATCCTGCCATGGCCGGGCGTGGGGCTAGAATTGCAGTGGCTCCATCCATGGCTACATATTTTCAAGACTCACAATAATTGGTGGACGGTGTTCTGGAGTGGTTTTTGGCACCTTGCCATGTTATCAAAGCAAAGTTAGCCCACATGTGAAACTCTGCGGCCACAAATGGTTTACGTCACTCAATATTTATTATTCACGTGATTTACTTCCATGTTGAAACGCATGAGGGGACGATGTACGTTAAGAAATTTCCAATATTGAAAAATTGAGAAACTTTTGAATGACTTACAAAGAGATATAATTTATGTATTGCCAAGTAGTTTTTGGGTCTGATTGGTGGGCTGATTGGAATATGTTGTGACTAATTAAAATGGACTTGAGTCTAGTTCGTTGTTTATTGTGTTCAAATATGAGATGAACGTGACTGGACATGATGGTTTATGAATTCACAATAAAATGGATTATCTAACATATCATTTTACACAGCTACCAAGTTCAAGCTAATGAGAGTAAACACAAGGCTACACTCTTCCCTTCCTTAAGCATTGTATGCTTGTTGCCTTTTCTTTGTCAAATTTTACCTACCAAATTGATATTTAACATTACCCTTTTACTCCTAATACGTGTTTTCTGGTGCTAATGAGAAGGTTTGGGATTTGACTTTTAAGGTTGTAGGTAGATACATAAACTCTAATTTCATAAAACATTTATATGATGATGTATCAAAGTCTGATAACAAATAACTGGTTAGCTTACCCTAAAATTAATTCAAACACTTAATTTCTTGCTTATGTGTCTACATCATTGTGCTACAAATTTAATGACCACGTCACCAAATGCATTTTAGAGGTCTCCCACCTTTCTTTTTCATTTTTCAAAAAATAAATAATATAAATCATAAACTTGATGACATTTGGTATTCATACCACCCACCTTCAAGTGCATCAAAATTCTTCTGCCATTAAAATTCTAGCAAATTTTCGATGTTCTCACTACACCTAGATTTAGATATATTTTTTAAAATCCTAATCAATTACCCCTCGATCTGGATGTAGCCCTTAAAATTCCCTTAAATCCTAATTTGACTACACTACAATTTAGTATTTTAAAATCCTCTTTTTAAATTGTAATTGATTACACTCGGATTTTAAAACCAATTAAAATTCTATCAAATCCGAATTTAACTACACCTATCTAAATTGCATATTAAAATAGGATAATGCTAAGGAGATCAAATTTGTAAATCAATTGATGTGTCACTAATAAGCAATAAGCACATTAATCAATACTTAAGTAATAATTCAATTATCATCAACAAAAACAACAACATTACTCATTAAAATTCCCAACCTGCCCAACACCTAAAGATTGTGAGAAGTGAAGTCAGCCGTCCTGCTGTAATGTCTCAACCATATTCTTGTACCATTGGGTTTAGGAATTTACAAAAGAACAATTTACACTCTTTAACCTCAACTTTGAGGTAATTTTTAAAATTAGTTACGAAATTTTAATTTTTTCAAATTATACCATGAAGTTTTGAAATTGTATCAACTAATCAATCTTGTTTCTTTGAAGGTCTAGTCGTATAAACTTATGGCGTGCAATATGAAAGCATCTCATGAAAGTTGTAAATGTCAAATCTTAATTTAATAGTTAATGTAACAATGTCAGATTTTCTTTTACTCCAATATATATATATTTTTTGTTATAAATGATATTTGTAAAACTCATTTTAAAGAAAGAAATCAATTAAAATAAATTTTCAAGATTAGGGTTTAGGGTGGCCCAACAATAAATAATTAAAAATTA